CCCAACTTAGGGGACTATGTGAGGTCAGGGGATTCCTAGAGCAGAAGTGGTATCTGGTCCAGGCTTGGTCAGAACCCTATTTTAAGGGGAGTTAATGGTGTAAGTCTCCTTGTGCCATTTTCTTGAATGAACACCGTGAGTTTTTCATTGTGAAGTAGCAGATCCTCAAGTTTTCTTCATACTTGGAAAGTGAGTTAAAGTTCTTGTCGGTTAGTAGAACTGTTTGCAGGAGCACTAAGAAGAGATGGCTCTGCAGGCTGTATCTTTAACAGGCAGTGCAAGCTCTACCTCTGCTGTTTTTTACCCCTGCAGTAGGGAAAATGAACCTGACTAGAAGAGTTTAACCTAGGAATAATGCACTTTAAGCTATTTTGTAACAGTATACTGCCATTCACCTACCACTGGTTAAGGAAACTTGGATACTTCAAAGGAACTTTCAGTAGTTGGCTTTAGTTGACCAGTGACAAAGGAAAAGACAGATGTTCTAATGTTGTAGGTTAGTCCAAGGGATGCTGAACTTGGAGGAAACCAGGTTCCTAGAAAGTTAGGCTGTTTTCTGCAGCAGGACATTAGGATGGTAGGAACAAAATAGCAAGGGCCTGAATTATAAGCAGCTGGACTGGCTTTTGCTGTTTGGAAAGACTGTTTGTTGTTCTTCCTCCTGCTGGAGAAGGTGCCTCATACTGAGGCTCTTCTGTCCTAATATACCATTTTCCGTTCTCTACCAACGTGTTCATGCTGTGCTGATCTTTCAGTAGAACAGGTCAAGCTTTTGGCCCTTGTTTAACAGTATTGCTCTGAAAAAGACACATGTGGTTTTATTTTTTGGGTTTGCTTTGTGTGTTTTTTTGTTTGCTTTTTTCCTCCTCCCTCCACCTCCTCTCACCTTACTCTGAGCAAACTCAGCTGAGCTTACCTTGTTGCCTGAGCAGCTCTAGAGCAAAAACATGGTCTCGTGCCTGTTGTGAAGAGACTATGCTGGGATTGTGGTGTCTGGTCAATCTAGCTAGATGACTGCATATCCTTCTCCTTGCTGTGTCTTGTGCTGAGATAGATATAATGTGTGCAGTAGGTCTACCCTCTTTGTGCAGCAACTCTGCTGGCTCAGAGCTGTGCCCCAAGGCACCTATGCCTGGGTGCCTGCGGCTTTCTTCCTCCGTGCTGGGAATGAACGTATGTACCTGTCCTGACAGCAGGCTGGTCAGGGCTTCAGGGGAGAGGCTAGTGGTGAGCAGGCTGCAGGCACTGCCAGAACAGTTCATCTGGTATGCAGGCTGCTTGTGGTCTCAAGGGAAAAGGGGCACCGGGAGCAGCTGCAGGCTGCGTGATTTGCTCTGGGCACGCTGCAGGCAGCTGACAGGTTGTGACTCGACCACTGCAGCGCAGAAGGAAACAGTCTTTTCACATAGTTTCCTTTGAGTGCTGTGGTTAAGCTCAGAGTCCAGGAGTCTTGATTGGAATAACATCAGAGCAACTTTGTAATTCTAGGGTGCGAGCTGATGCTATCTTGATTTTTAAGGTAGGGCTTAGTAGGTTCTTAGAGAAGAAAAACCTTTTCTAGGAGAGATACAGTATAAGATGCTGCCCTAGTAGGGCAGCACTTGGAGGTTAGGGCATCTGCCCTAGCCTCCAGCAACTAAAGCTGTAGAGCTTTTATTTTAAGGAAACTTGCTCTAGTTAGGTTTCCATGGGCATCTTGCAATCAGGAATTCTTTTTTAAAAGCAGAAGCTTCTCAGAGCAACAGTTAAAACATTAAAATGGAAAGTGAAAATCTGTGGCTTGAGCGTTGTCTGAGCATCACTCCTCTTGAGTAGTAGATGAGTGCTTTTTCCTAACCATAAAATCCACATTACTCCAATAGTGTGACTTAGTGAGATAGTTTTGTGTGTGTTTACACTGATAGAATTTGAGTTAATAGTTAACACTGAAGCCTGACTTGCAGATATACTGGATTAGCTAGATGTTTTGTACTGAAACGCTGCAAGTAAAGACTTTGTATGTGCCTGGCATCTTACTGTCTACTCTGTTTTTCATATGTTTGTGCTTGCTGCAGTCTGTGCTGCCTACAGCTTTCCTGTGCTGAGCTCACAGGGAAGTCATAATCCTGCATTTGTGATGTTCATCTGTTTACGTAGAAATTAGATGTAATGTAACAAATTAGCATTACAATGCTATTAAGGTATCAAGACAGATGACAAACTGGAAAAAGTCAGCAGCATCTGAAGTGGCAAATGTGTACAAGGTATAATAGAAAATGGAGTGCCAGGTGCACCATTGGACAGTGGTGTATGGTTATACAGCTGACACAAAGCTCCCTCTTCAGTGGCTAGCTGTATCTTTGGGGTTTGCCTGCAGCGCAGCAGTGTTAATTCGGTCATACAAGGCACGCTTAGCTCTGAGAGCTCGTGCCGTGGCACAACTTCCTTAGCTGCTTTCCTGACACCCAGAACCCAGGCTGTGCGGAGCAGCGTGCAGGGTGTGCCCAGCTGAGTGGGATTGTGCAAGTTTCCAGGCAGCTGAACTGTCATATGTCATTTAGCTATTTATGTGACTAACTGACTGGTAATCCTGTATATAGTATTAAGCCACTTAATCACTTTTTCCTCCTCACTTTCTTAAAACTACCTTTTAATTGGAGACCTTGCTCTCCAAAGGGAGGTAACAAATTTGACTTCATTAGGGATTCTGTTATAATCTTTCTGAACTAAACTAGCAACTGTTACTCTTTTGTGTAGCTATAACAGCCATTAGTGTTGGGATAGTAATGTGAATGCTTATACCTACAGAACAAGCAGCAGTAGTTACACAGGTTTTAATTCAGGAAATATATTTATAGATGACATCTTGCTACTGTAAGAGCAGATATAACCCCCTAAAGCCCATAGAGAAGATCTAAAGAGAAAAAAAAACTGCCTTCTGAATTAGTTGCTCTTCAGCAAATAAGATGCCTTCCCTGCAAAGTGCTGCTGGGAAGGGATGGATGAGTGGGAGCAGTTGCATGGTTTCTCTGCGGTCTTTGGCCTGTTTGTCTTAGAATATTTTTCTGGGGCTATATAAATCTTCCTTAGGGGCACTTAGGGTGAGGTCACTTTTTCTTACAACTTTGACCGCTTAAGCACATGCTTAGATTGTTAGTTTGTCACAAGCAGGTTACTGAAAAGGGCTTTCTAGATTTGCGTTGGAATACTGCTTTTACTGATGAGGAGTTACGGTGGCTTTTTAAGCTTCAGAGTTGCTAAAAAAACTTACAGCTCATCATGCTACATCATCTCTTCAAGCATCATGCTGTCTCTGGCTGCAGCTGTCAGTTGCCAAGTTTCAGAAGGGTTTCACCGCTCTGGACAGCATGGGGTCAGGGCTTTCTGCCAGGGACATGTGTCTTTGTTACCGTGCAAATGACCAGAGGAACTTGGATCTTGGTGGGGTTTTTGCTTTTTCCATTGCTTTTCACAAGAACAGCCTCTTGATGCTTTAGCTAGGTAAGGGAATGCCCTCTTAGAAGGCAGATACTATGAAATGGAGACTTTTTTCTTTTTTCTTGCAGTGCTTAGTGTTCTGTTTTCTAGCTATTCCTCTGAAATTGTAGAACGAAAGTATTTTGTTGCCTTTCATCTTAACACAAGAATTCCTCAAGTGTTTTCCTTTTTCCATGACAATGAAATGTTGGATATTTAGACCTTGTTTGCGTGTCTGTTTCCCTGGCATGGCTGTGGGCTTTCTCAGTAGTAGGGCAGGCAGCTCTGAAACTGCTGCAGCTGATTTTTGGAATGGTTCCAGAATGGCTGGAGGCGGTTGATAACAGTCAGAGTTAAATTTTCTGTAAGCAATGTGGCTGAGGAGTGCTCAAAGTTTGAAAGAAAAGGTATAATGAGATAGCATTGCAAACTTTCACAGGACACTCCTTCCAAGTGCTAAAGGCAGGTGGAAGAAAACAAAGATACTGGTATCCAGCAGACTGACAGAGTAAAGTAAGTTGTTGGTCACAGGATTAATTGGCACTTTGATACTGTATATCATAATTGTTTCCTTCCTGTCTTTGTTTGGCTTTACTTCTGTGACCTTCAATCTATTTTATAAGTCAGAGAAAAGGAGCCTTTGGAAAGATGCAAGGAGGAGTTGATCTGGTCAACTACAGTCCACTGCTTTGTTAAGGAGTCGATACCCTTTTGTACTCAAGTTGCTGCTTGGTTCTGGTTGCTTTCACTGTGCCAAATAGTGGAGTGTCACCTCCCTGACTAGGAGGGAAATAAACAAGTAATTGAGTTTTAAGTACTGCATTAGTCAGATAAATATGAAGCAGCAACAGCAGGTCAGGAGCTGAACACTTGCATAGGCCATGTTTGTCCTGCCAGACTACTGTATTATGTACAGCTTTTCTTTTTGTTTTTTGTTAAAGTGTGAAATCAAGGCCTCAGTGTTTACTGTGAATTCTGTTTTATTTTTGCCATGCGTACAAATTTGGATGCTTTCATAGGCTGCTCTGAAATGTTGGAGTTGATGTAGTTGTGTTGATTGACAATCCAGTTCTTGCCAGACGGTCTTCCGTAGGCCTTTGAATCTGGGGAAGAATCTTTAAGATGTGTTTTATGCCATGATGATGGCAGGGAAACAGTTTCTGCTGAAAACTCAAGTGTCCTCAAGAGGTGTATAACTAACTTTCAGTGAAGCTGTTCACATGGAAGTCTTTCATATGGTAGCGTGCTTGATACTTAAGTCGGGTGGAGGTTGCTTTCAGAGCAATAAGTCTTTTCTTGTGCTTCCTAGAAACTTCGTAATACTCCTGTCTTAACTCATGTGAACTAAGGTCAGAATCCCATTCTAATCTGAAGCTTCTACTTCAGCATTTAAGAGACCAGCTCTTTGCTTTTTAATCTAAAAGGCTGTTTGATCTGGCTATTCTTTGCCTGGTCTCATGCGTGTGTGCTGACTTTGAAGAGGGCAGGTAGGTTATAGAATGGAGAATGAAAAGAAATCTGAAGCAGATATTTTCTCTTTGCAGAAACCATGGCGAGCCCTGCAAAGGACAACTATCGAATGAAGAGTTACAAGAATAAAGCCCTAAATCCTGAGGAAATGCGTCGGAGAAGAGAAGAGGAAGGGATCCAACTGCGCAAACAGAAACGAGAGCAACAGGTAACTCTCACCTTGACTGGCTTGTACACAGCCTTAACGCAATCAGGAATGTGCTCCTGTTAGACTTCAAGGGTTGGTGTATTAAGATGTGCTGGCAGTCCTATTATTTTTCTGTTCCAGCTGAGATTTTTACTGTTCTTTTCTGCTGTGCATCTAGTACAGACTGTATGTAGTTCACATCAAGAGCTCTCCAAACACTTTGTCCTTGGGGTACTGGAGGCTTTTGTTCATGGATCCTTGCTTTTAAGACTTTAGATCAATTAGTGAATGGGGCTGTTTCCTCAAGAAGCAGAAAAAGTAAATGAAAATATGGGCTGGAAGTATTTCTGAGCTGTTTTTTTTAGCTTGGAGGTCTAAAAGTGAGAGAGTTTTCCCAGGTGATGTGTGTAACTGACTAAATATATGCTTTATTAGACAGCCTACAAGCTGTCTTCTCTCTAGTTTCCTGAGCTTGTTAGCTAAATTCTGCACTTGTCTATACCAGTGTTTCAGTGACTTGGGTATTTGCATATCTGAGGGCAAGACTTGGCTTGTTTTTATTATCAGGGTTTGTATGCCAAACTAGTCCTCAGAGTGCGGAGCTGTTATTATTAATGACTACTCTTCTGTTCAGGTTGCATTTAGTTTAGCTGACAGTATCATCTTTGTGGAACAAGAATATCTAGTTATGAAGACTATTCATTCATTGCTTTCTAATAAGACTTTTCCCCCTAGCTCTTTAAAAGAAGAAATGTGGAACTGATTAATGAAGATGCCTCCATGTTTGATAGCCTCCTTGTGGATTCCTATGTCAGTTCCACAACATGTGGGGTAAGGTGCCTTTTTTTGTTGCTGTTGCGCCTTCAGATTTAATGATGCGGGCTGCATAGAACTGACAAGCTTTGCCTTTCTGTTTTCCCTACTTCTGAGAATGCTGTGAATGTTCCTATAGTGAACTGGAAGAGTCTTCCAGGAATTAAAATAGTGTGATGTAATGTTGAGTTGTGAATCTCTGGATTACTAGCTAAGCACAAAATCAATAGGTGGTCTTGACTGCAATACCTTTAACCTTGGTATGAAATGGAAGCATTGCTCTATCCCCTTTCCATCCTTTCAGGAGGGAGTGATCACAAGGGAGATGGTGGAGATGCTTTTCTCAGATGACCCTGATCTGCAGCTAGCAACCACTCAGAAATTCAGGAAGCTACTGTCCAAAGGTAAATGTAGCTGATTTTATCCATGTTACAGGATCTGACATAGCTTTTCTGTTGAGAGCATTTGTGGACTTGTAGTGCTATACAGAAGCTTAGCAACTCTGGGTTTGGGGAAAGTTTCAGTCCAGAAACTTGATCATCTAGTATATTTGCTAGTGACTTACAACTGGATGAACCGTTCAGAAAGCGATGCTGGGGAGTTGACCTGTCCAGATGAGTACAGCTTGAAACCATGCAGTTCCATAATAGTCCATGCTTATTTACTCCTCTGTATTAGGTCTATATACTGTTTTGACACTGCCTTGCTATTTCAGAGCCAAATCCTCCGATAGATGAAGTGATAAACACTCAGGGAGTGGTGGACAGATTTGTTGAATTCCTGAAAAGAAGTGAAAATTGCACACTACAGGTAAAGGAGACTTTCTCTGTGGTATGAATTCTTCCTGGCATGTAACCATTAACTTCACAGCTGAGTGACATGAACCCACAAGTGCCATTAAGGAAAAGTGATGCCTTGAACCCAAAAGTTGCAGATCATATGATGGACATGAAAAGATAAAAGATAACATGTAAAGAGGCAAAAGAAAGGGGATTATAAGTTACCCTAAACTAAGTTCCTGGAAGAATACTAGCAAAAATGATAATTCATGTGCTGTCCCTTGGAGTAGGACAACAAATCATACCTAAGTTGCAGCAGAAGAAAGTTTGGCTTTCCTATGTCTGGCCTTTCTGTTAGTAGATACTTAAGCCCTGGAATAAACTGCGTAGGGAAAAATCTCCGTTATTGGAAGGCTTTTAAGAACAGGCCAAGTATCTTGTTAGAAATGGCTTAGGTAGAACTGATCCTGCTGTGGAGCAGAGGGATGGACTAGATACCAAGCTGGAAGGAATATCTAGTTAATAACTATAGTTACTTTGGGGGGGGGTTAAAAATACTTCTGTACATGAGATTCAGTCTTGGAGGTGATGATGATCTTTATCTTCCTTCCTGCCCTCCAGCCCAAGAGGGGCTTACCTTCAAGGAGAACTGAATGGAAATCTATGTTTAAATCAAGTAACGAATGAGCAAAAAAAGCAGATAGCTTGTTGCTCAGCTTCACTTGAACTTAAGGCATCTCTGAGGTATTAGCCAGACAAGGGGGTGGACTAGAACTGCCTGTCTGCACTGGATAGATGAAATTTTCTACTCTACATGTATTTCTGGGCTACATGTTTTCACTTGTCATTCTGGAAAGTGGTCATATAGGTGAAATGATGTGGTGTGACTGACAGTGTTTTCACTTGTTAATTCTTTGAGAAGCTATAGCCTCTGAGAAAGCATTTAGCAGACATGTTTTTTTTGGTGTTCAAGACAATAACATCTTTTCTTCTTCAGGTATTGAGGTGTTTCATGGAGTAACTTTTTTTCCCCCCCCTCTCACAACCTTTTTATGTTAGAGGACAAAAGAGTTACAGCCGAACTTCAGTGGTGAATATCTTGCCCTATCAGAATTTTTATTCATGCTTGTCACTTATTTGCTTGTTTCAGTTCGAAGCAGCCTGGGCACTGACGAATATTGCATCAGGAACCTCCCAACAAACGAAAATAGTAATTGAGGCTGGGGCAGTTCCTATCTTTATAGAGCTGTTAAACTCTGACTTTGAGGATGTTCAAGAACAGGTAAGGCTCCCCTTTTTCTTTAGGGGGTTAGGAAAGAACCACACGATTAAAATGCAGTGTTCAAAATGAGTGGTATCTGACAACTGGCTTCAGACCATGAACTGAAGTATCAGTTACCTGGAGTAATAGGAAAATGCCTCTCTAGCACACTGCCCTTCTCTTCCTCTGTTTAGAGACTTTGTGAATGCTAAAACTGTTGCTCTTTCCTTTCAGGCTGTCTGGGCATTGGGGAACATTGCTGGAGACAGCTCTGTGTGTAGAGACTATGTCCTTAACTGCGCTATTCTTCCTCCCTTGTTAATGTGAGTAGCCATGAATACTTGCCAATACAGTTCTTGAAGTCCCATTGTGCTACAGCAGCGCAATATGCATGCTAGGTGAATGGGTTCCCTAGCAATATGTGTAAATGTTCACTGGGAATCAAAGCATTGGTAACAGAAACTGGCAGTTGTTCAGACAATATCTGATAAAGTAGAGTGGGACTTGGTAGATAACATGCCTTCTCACAAACCTTTATACTGCTCTGAATCTGAAGTGGGTGCCCTCCCAGTGCTTGTCTTTCTGAAGTCATGGGGCTTGCTGTTTCAATGTGTCCTTTTGGATGCCTGTGCCTCGTGCTTATGCTGTGAGTTTCAGAAGCTTGTCTGAATGGGCTCGTCTGGGAGTAAGGAAGGGGAGCAGGTCTCTACATACTGTCTTTTCTCTGTAGCTCAAGTGTGGTGCATCTATTTCTTGGGAGCGTGCTCTCAAGTACTACTTACTGCTCTTAGAGTAAAGTAAACGTATTTTCTTGGCAAACTGATGCTTTGTCACTAATGACTCTAAGTTGTTACGCTTCTGTCAATTGCCTCTTTCAGCAGCAATTGCTGACTGAAGCCTTCCTCAGCCAGTAGGGCTCATGGTATTCGTTAGAGTGGAGAGACAGTGGTTCCTGTCCGCTGGTCTCTAGTGAGAACCACCTGACCTCTAAGTGTGTTTGTCTGCCTTGGCTGAGTTCAAATTTGGAACTGCATTCTACTAACCTATACTTCCTTCTGCAACTTGTCTGCCATGGTGCTTGCCTTCCTGTTCAGTGTTCCTTTACACTTTTAGGAGCAATAGCTGTTCATCCTATAAGTAGCTGCATTTCATTTTTCTTGCTTATTGAGAGGCTCAAGTGACAAATGGCATGGCTTGAGCTACAGCAAGTAGTTTGGCTTCGCTGAAGTTATAGTTTTCTTTCTTTAGTTTTGATTCCCATGCTGCTTTCTAGTAATTTACATTCTACACAGCCTATAATTAACGGTAACTGTCTCTTTAGGCTCCTTACAAAGTCCACCAGGTTGACGATGACACGAAATGCTGTCTGGGCCTTGTCAAACTTGTGCAGAGGAAAGAATCCACCGCCTGAATTTGATAAGGTGAGAATAAATACCTTATTGGCAGGTCATGGTGTTGGTCCAAATTACTTCTGGTGATTGGACTAAGCCATTACAGGGAGGAATAGGGTGAGGCTCTTCCTGCTTTTTAGCAGGTATTTGAGTGCCCACTTAATCTTCTGCCAACCTCTTGGCATAACTCAGTTGGCAGCCCATCAGCTGGGCTGCTCAAGTGAGGGGTGAAACTGACTTCTGTGCAAGGAGCACATGCTCTGGGCTTCTCTGAACCCTTTTGTGATGAACTCTGGAAGTTTGAGACTTCATTCCAAATCATGATTAAAACCTGATTCAGAGGCATCCAAATGCTACGAAACAGGACTCCCTCAAACCCCTATAGTTACTAAAGGGCTATGGTAGTTTTCCCTTTCCTTCTGTGCCGCTGTCACTAAGGGCCTCTACTGGCCCTTCAGATCTGTCCCATCCTTTTTTGGTAGAACTAATTCACTTGAAATTTCACTTGTCAAAGCTGGGGAGCCTACAGTGAGGGATGAAATCCGAATTGAGTGTAAATGAAGACGCTTACAAATGAGCACAGTAATCGGAGGTGCAGCTATTGATGGTTGCAGCTCTGTGTACTGAGCTATTTAGGAGTATTAAGAGCAAGAAATGATGCAGTGCTCTTATGTAAGAAACAGAAATAGCTTCCAAACTGTAGCCTGCACGGTAGCACTTGTCTTAAGAGTCTAGACTTGGTCCAAGAGAAAGGGATATAATTCTAGTTTAGTAATAAAGCTGTTGAGGCAACCTTAGATTCTGAGCCATGTAAACCAGGTGAAAAGCTGCTGACTTTGGGGAAGGAAACTGGGGACATTCAACACTTATCTTAGTGGTCAGCGTAGCCGCAGGATGTTTGCATGCAAAGGCAGTAGTCCTTGACAGAACGTGACTAACCTTCCCGGGTGGTTGCTGTTGTTGTAGGTATCTCCCTGCCTGCCAGTGTTGTCCCGATTATTATTCAACAGTGACTCTGACTTGCTGGCAGATGCGTGCTGGGCTCTTTCCTATTTATCAGATGGCCCGAATGAGAAAATTCAAGCAGTTATTGACTCTGGCGTGTGTCGACGACTGGTAGAGCTGTTAATGTAAGTATCTTGTCTCTCACTGGGCTGAAGCAGTGAGACTGCACAGCACGTGGCTGAGCATGTGTTCGTATCCACATTTGCCATGGCATACTCGCTGCTTCTGGTGGGCACAGAATCCACACGCTATCTAGGATAGTTAGGATACCTTAGCTAAATCTGGAGCAGTTACATTAGAAGGATCTGGGGCAGGCTGAGGGCTACAGTTTATTGGCTTCTCTATCTGAGAGAAACTGAGTATTCTAGTGCTGGAATACCAGTTAATGCTGTACACTGGGAAGAACTTCTTTACAGAAGCCCAGACTGACACTTAGGCTAGTCTGTGAAGGAAGAGTATTGTGCTGATTAGCATAGTTTCTTGTGCTCTCAGACTTTTCAAATGCGCTTGCGGAAGCCTAGTCACTAGACAAATTGGAGAATAAGAACAACAGTGTCTAACAAAAGCCAGCTTGGCTTTGTCTCTGATATCTACATGGAAACTTGGACAAAAATGTTTTCTGTCTGCAGTTTGAATGCACAGGCCTCTTCTCTTTAATTAAAATTTTGAGAAATGATAGAACAAATAGCTACCTGCTTCCAAAATTCTCCAGGAAAAACTCTGGGTGTTTTCACTGTGTTAACATTTGTGTTCAGGAAGGGACCTCAGATATGTAATTGAGTTGAAGGTGATGCAGTTAAGATTTAAAAAAAGATTTATTCAGTCTCTGCTTATCCTGTGGTAGTATGGAAAACTTCTGTCCATACTGTATCCCCCATATGCTAGGGGATGGAATTCTAAGTAAATTATGCAGATGAGAAACTGGAGAGCACTTTTCTGAAAGATTCAGGTGCATGTAATCTGACAGATTTGTCTTCTATCCCTGCACTATCTTTTCTGCAGGCACAATGACTACAAAGTGGCCTCCCCAGCTTTGCGAGCTGTCGGCAACATTGTGACAGGTGATGACATCCAGACCCAGGTGAGGGGATGTGACTGTCTTACAGATGCAACTAAAGAGGAGTACAGCTCTTGATACTAATGATGCTTATGGTTGTTAGAAAGTATGTCTCCCTTATATATCAGTGCATGACTTCTTTCAGTGTGAGTGCTTTAGTTGGTAGCAGTCTGTTTCCATCAGCATGGTTTAGTCCGGCTGCTGCAGCAAGCTTTTAGAAGCAAGGCACATCAGAATAGTGTTTGTTTTTCTCTTGCTTTCTGTTATTTTGGATGTGTGGGGGTGGGGGGTGTGGTTTTAAAATGGAGCTTCAGAAAGTCTGATTTCAAGACATGGGAGATGGGGGCAAAGTACCTCTCTTGTACCTTTTTCCCACAGTGATATAATAGTAGAAGTACCTTTCCTTCCCCCTTTCTGAAAAGGGCAAGGAGGGAAATGCAGCACCCATACAGCATATTCACTGTGTGAAAATTGAAAGAAGGTGGAAAACTTGGCTCTCTTCCTGATACTGGTGACCTCACTTCTGCTTTCCTTATCATAAGGTGATCCTGAACTGTTCAGCACTGCCTTGTCTCCTTCACTTATTAAGCAGTCCCAAGGAGTCGATTAGGAAAGAAGCCTGCTGGACTATTTCTAACATCACAGCAGGAAACAGAGCACAAATACAGGTACAGCTTTGAGGCTTTTAGGTTTCATTTGTAGTGATCTTGGAGTCCAAGTTCAGTGTTCAGAGTCCGCAAATCTTTTTCTTATCTGACCCTTAGAGGCTTTAAGCTTGTTTAAACTCTTTAAAACTCTTTAAATTTTGTGGGCAGGCTGCTCCCAGCTGTAGGCCAAATAAATTAGCTAAAAATCTGCTAATTGTACTACAAAGGGATGAGACTGAAATGACTGAATGTCCCCCTTTTGGATCATTGGAATAAGAACAGGACATAAAGCCCCCATTTCTCCATGCTCAATTAGAGATACCCCTTTGAAAAGCTGTAGCTTGTTAAGATGTAATTGTCCTTTTAATGGCCTACATAACAAGGCAGATAAAATGAGACTTTCTACAGGACTGATGCAATAATGAGGGACTATTTACTGTGCTAGTTATGGAATTGAATATAGGATTTGGTAGAGGAATAAAATGGAGGAATTGCTGAAAAAGGTTTAGGCCGGAAAGCTTACTGGAAAGTAGAGAGAGATTTCTTTCAGCTGCTTTTGGAAACCATGTTGCCAATTCAAACACTTCATACTGTTCTCTCTCCCCAGGCAGTCATAGATGCAAACATTTTCCCAGTGCTGATAGAAATCTTGCAGAAAGCAGAATTCCGTACAAGGAAAGAGGCAGCATGGGCTATTACAAACGCAACGTCAGGAGGAACTCCAGAACAGATCAGGTACTCCTTATGGCCCCACTTAGGGGAAATCGGTCTGAATGTATGGCAGCTTTATGTCTTTGGGATCTGCAAGACAAAGCAGTAAGGGAGAACCTCTGGGAGAATACCTGAGACATGGGCAAGGCTGTAGCTAGACAGTGTGCTCTGCTGTGCATTGCAGTTTCCTTCTGAAATGGGATAAGCAAGTGTCAGACTAATCCAAACTGCTTCCCCCTCACGTCTTTAAAATAGCTTAAACTAGGCTAAATGTCCAAACCTCATTTAAATTCCCGTGTGGGCTTAAACTCAGTGTCACCTGGACTTCAAAGGGAGCTGGCCCTTTTTTTTAAAGGCAGGGTTGTATATGCATAGAAATAAGTGGAGATAAATATTAAGCTTGCAAAACAGTAAAATATACTAATAATGTTAAATAACGTTATTGTTATTTAAAATTATATATAGCTTATATATATATATATAAAAAGTTATTTTAGTTTGACTCATTCCTTTGAGCTTTTTTTAAGTGAATGAAGGCGATGTTTGCTATCCTGCAAGCTGAGTGTATGTTCTGGGTGCTCTCTCTGTAGATACCTGGTAAACTTGGGTTGTATCAAGCCTCTTTGTGACCTGCTGACTGTCATGGACTCAAAGATTGTTCAGGTGGCGCTGAACGGCCTGGAGAACATACTGAGGCTCGGAGAGCAGGAGGCCAACCAGAGTGGGACAGGCATCAATCCTTACTGCAGCCTGATTGAGGAAGCCTATGGTAGGTTGTGGCTGGTGGCCTTGCTGCTATTGCCTTTGAAAACCGTAGGGTATGTTGACAGGTGTCTGCTGATGTCATGGATTTCATTTCTGCTTAGCATTTAAGTGTGTACCAGATAAGGGATTTTGGTATGTTCCAAATGAGATGTTATCACGTGGCCTGATTCTCCCAATAAGAGCAGTTCTTGAAATTCATAAGAACATATGTTGCTTGGATGCTTCCTGTTCAGCAGTGGATTTAAGTCAGATGGCTAAAGCAGTCACTGCCCTCCTGCTGGAGGGAGGCCCCTGGGGTCAGGGCCTGCTTCTTCCCCCTTCCAGCCCCAGGACTGTCAAACTATTCATGGCCAGTTGTATTAGTCCCACTGATTTCAGTTTTGCCTTCAGCAAGGGAGCTGTGAGCAGCTAAGCCTACTGTTGTAAAGATGTCAGTGCTGTCTGATAGGGATTAAATTTCCAAGCAACTCTGGAGTAATGGGAAGAGTTAGCTTTAGATGTCAGAGTGCTGCAGACAAAATGCACATCTAACACAGGCAGGGGTCTTGCCCTGAACAGGGGTGAGGGTGGAGGATGGATGTGGGACAGTGTAAACACTGGGGTTCTCCATGTTTTGTCACACGCTGCTTTTCTCTTCTCTAAGGCTTGGATAAGATAGAGTTCCTGCAGAGCCATGAGAACCAAGAGATCTACCAGAAGGCCTTTGACCTGATTGAGCACTACTTTGGAGTAGAGGATGATTCTGCTCTAGCTCCCCAGGTAGATGAGAACCAGCAGCAATTCATATTCCAGCAACCTGAAGCCCCAATGGAAGGTTTCCAGCTATAATGTGCCCAGAGGGGAAAAGAATACTACAAACTTGCCAGGAAGCAACTGGGAGCAGCTGATGGTCCCACCCCCCTCCTTGCAAATGGAAGGCTAAACACCCACTCCACCTGTTAGGAAGCAACTCCTCCTTCAGAAACAACTAGAAGCAGTGCTTTGTCCTCATGGAGAGAAGGGGAAGTTCTTACACTTTTTCTTTTTGCTGCTGCATATGTGTCTTTAAAGCAGGCATCTGGGTGGAGGAAGGACACTGAGATAACAGATTGCACCTCTTGTGGGTTTTTTTTTTTCTTCCTCTTTGTGGTGATCTCCCAAATGTCACTTTTTACCTTGGGTACTTAAAATTGAGATTTCAGCATTGGGTTGGGTAAGAACACATAGAAAGTGAGCATTCTGATGACAATAATTCTGGAAACCTGGGTTGATCTATTTAATTTTTTTGCACATGTTACTCTTATTAAAGACTCTAATTTGCCAAGAGCAAAGTTTAGCCCTGGCCTTTCTGCGACCCTCCTTCAGTGGACAGTCCTGTTGGACCTGGGCCAAGTTCCCCTGAAATATACTGTAAATGGACAGAGAAGCAGGGAAGTCTCCCAATCCTGGGAAAGCTTTCTGGGGGAAGGATTCTTCTGTTTTTTTTTTTTTTTCCTGGAGAACTGCTAGTGGTATTTACAAGGAAAAAAGCAACAAAACCCCAAAGATGGTAACTATGAAGAGGGTGGGATGCTTGGGTGGTTTTTGAAAGAGGAAGCACAGCTGCCATTGCACAGGCTTTGTTTGCATTGCTACTGACTGAAGTCACAAACTGTTGAAATGATGAAACCCATCTTCATTCTTACTTGAAGTTTTTTTTTTTTCCTCCTCTCATGAAACCATGTTTTGAATTTTGGGGTTTTTTGGCTGGGTTGGGGTGGATCATAATATGGGCTGGGGAGGAAGAGGGCATAGCTACACTTGACAGCAGTGTTGTGTGCGGTGTTAACTTCAGTAGCAACAGGCCTGAGTTTTCAGGTTTACCTCCTGCTCACAGTTGGATCATGTACATTTTACTTCAAAAGGAAGAATCAAATCCCTGTATTTTTTATATTATATATAGGTAGATATTTGTCTAATTGGGCTTCAGAGAAAAATATATATGAAATTTCTGTAATTTATGTAAATAGAATACTGTGAGGCAGGCATACCTGGAAATGACGGTCTGTGAGCTCACTCACTGGTTGTCCTGCTTCTTTTCCTCTGTTTACTCATGTACTGTATAAGCAAACATAGATCTGTCTTAAACTCCTCTACCTGCCTTGAGTTTACTTAGCCAAGATCTCATTAAAAAACAAACTAAAAGGGGGCGGGCCAGGCTGCGGAGAGCGAAACCGCT